TGCTGTAACAAATGACTACAAACTTCATGGCTTAAAACAACCCAAATTTATACCAAGATCCAGGATTCAATCCCTGTACTGGCCAGCACAAAAAAATTTAAAAAAGGAAGAAAAAGAAAAAGAAAAAGAAAAAAAAATACACAAATCTGTTATCTTACGGTGCAGAACGTCAGAAGTCCAAAACCAGTTTCACTGGGCAAAAGCCAAGGTGCTGGCAGGGCTATTTCCTTCAGCTTGTGATGGTTGCCGGCTTTCCTTGACTTTGACCATGTCACCCTCTGCTCTTCTGTAGTAGTATCTCCTTCTTATAAGGACCTCTGTGATTATGTCGTTGGACCCAGCTGGATGACCCAGGCTGATCTCTCCACCTCGAGATCCCTAACTTCACCACATCCGCAAAGTCCCTTTTGCCACGTAAGGCAACATTCCCAGGTTCTGGGGATGAGGACGTGGATATCTTGGGGGACTGTCATTCAGCCCACCGCAGTGACGAAAACCAGAGTCCTGGTTTTTACAGAACACTTTGGAATTCTAGAAAAATGGACATAATAGCTACAGAGGTAGGGGGAGAAATAGGATCCTAGAAAAATTGGCAGTTTTTTTTTTTTTTTTTTAAAGATGACCAGTAAGGGGATCTTATCCCTTGACTTGGTGGTGTCAGCACCATGCTCTCCCAAGTGAGCGAACCGGCCATCCCTATATAGGATCCGAACCTGTGGCCTTGGTGTTATCATCACCACACTCTCCCAGGTGAGCCACGGGCTGGCCCCAAATTGGCAGTTTTAAACCAAATGAAACCCATGTTGTGTCTGAGGGTGAAAGGAACTGGGAATGAGCAGTGTCACTGTTGACCTAACACAATCCACACTTCAGACTCGTCTTCTAGATGTCCAGAGAACCAAAGTACAGCCACACAGCCCCTCCCTGTGAGGAAAACCTGGAGACAGAAACACCCTCTGTGGCTTTGTCCCTTACTCTCTGTACCCCCCAAGTGAAGAATTTTGGAGTCAGAGATGTCACCCTATGTTAAAATGACTTCTTAACTCCCCACACCTTCTGAGATCATCCATATCATAAAATTTACTAACCAAAATGTGTCTCATGCCATCTCTCTCCATATCTCAGTAAATCTAAGACTGTCTTTTTTTTTTTGCGTGTGGCAGATGACCACTATGGTGATCTGAACCCTTGACCTTGGTGTTATCAACACCAAGCTCTAACCAACTGAGCTAATCGGCCAGCCCCTAAAATGGTATCATTTTCAGATGCACCATTATTTTATGTACCTGACAATTAATTATAAAATGCCACCAACTCCAAGACACATCGTGATTTCAGAGATGTTAAAATAGAGGAGGGGGATATCCATCTTAGAATCAATGAATAAGGGCTGGCCAGGTAGCTCAGTTGGTTAGAGCATGATGCTGAAAACACCAAGGTCCAGGGTATGATCCTTGTACCAGCCAGTCACCAAAAATCAGTGAATATATTTTGATTCAAGATGCACTTAAGCCCTTCCTCCTCTGTTAACCTGTTAGGTTGTGATCCCCTGAACAGTCAGGATATAGGATTAACTCTCTAGCCTGAGGCATCCAGCCATCCCTCCTGAACTGGAGCTTTCTAGCCTTACTGACTTCACTGAAATCCCTACCCCACGCCCTGCTATTTCCATGAGCTCAGTACAATACAAAATTCTTCTGTTTTCCTTTTGGTTTGGGGGGGGGGGGGCGTTGGTGCTGGCCGGTAGGGGGATTCAAACCCTTGACCTTGGTATTACAACACCATGCTCTAACCAATACTTGTTTTCCTGGGGACGTGCCATGAAGTCAGACTTATTTTGCCCAGTTAGTTAAAACCAGGTTCGATCTTGTGAAGCCCTTTTCCTAAATTGCTTCACTATTCTTTGAGTCCCAAAGTAGAAGAAACCCAAATGGTAATTGTATCCAAACAGGCTAGCAGTGGAGGGGCTTCAAAGAAATGCATTGGTTTTTTTTTTTTTTTTAAAAAAGATGACCGGTAAGGGGATCTTAACCCTTGACTTGGTGTTGTCAGCACCATGCTCACCCAGTGAGCTAACCGGCCATCCCTATGTGGGATCCGAACCCTTGGCCTTGGTGTTATCAGCACCGCACTCTCCCGAGTGAGCCACAGGGCCGGCCCAAAGAAATGCATTTTGACTCAAAATAGATTCATTGATTCTCAGATAGACATTCCCCCCAGGAATCCTAATTCCAACCAGAGCTCCTTATAAGACCCCAACTTCCCCAATATTCTCAAAATATGTATTATATAGTTTTGTTCCAGATTTTGGTTCAATTAGTACAGGAATATTACTTTATTATCCCAAGCTCCTACTCTGGTGACTTAACCAGGATGCATTCCACGGACAGCAAAGTGTTTCCATGGGGAGATTCCTGCTCATCCTGTTTTCTTTGTCGCGCTCTCCAATTTTTGCCTTCAAGATCCCAGGAGATTTGGGCCCGGATTCCTCAAGATTACAACAAAGGGTAATATTGTCTTCTGGCCATTTTAAACTTGTCCAGTATGTTAAAGACTTTTACTGCCTCTCCCTCGATGGATGCCAATAAAGAAGAGTTTTCTACTTGGTTTAGCCTGTCACAAAAGCTTCAAAGAGAAAAATGTCCTTTGCTTTGGGCATGCTATTTCTGCAAGAGAATATCTGTCTTCGAGGTCCCTGGACCTAGTAAAATGGTCACTGGAAGATGGTTAAATTCTTCCATTGTTACATGCCTGCCACAGTTGAGCTAGCTGGCACTTAGATTCATTACCTCGGTCAGGGGAAACTGAAGCTTTTTTCTGCTTTAAGCAAGTTTGGGCTAAAGCTCTAGGGTTGGGTCTCCCTGGTTACAGTAAGTCTTTTATTCTTTCTTACCATTAAAAGGAGGAGGGGGGAGGCGGAGGGAAGGGGTGAGGATGGAGGGAGGAAAGCAGGAGCAGCTGCAGCATCATCTTTGGGTACCTGAGCCAAGTTGTGAAGGACTGCTCGGTTGCCTGTTAGAATACACCCTTGGAAAGAGCTGATTTGGGTCCTTTTTTACATTCAAGTCCTGGAATAGGCATCTTCCACTTTTGTCCTAAATTCCCTTCACTGTTGCTGCCACATGGGCAGCCTCCTTTCTCATGTCTACGTAGCCAAGCGTGGAACGTTCCTCGTCTGTGCCCACTGCACTGCTGTGCTCGAAGCCCTCTGTTCAGTCTGGGCTCTCCACGCATGATGCGGGCAGGTGGGGCACCTCCCCATTGCTTTACAGTTACCGTCGTCTGCCAAAATCCAGAATTGACCTGAGAAACACCCAGTTCTAAAATCCTGACTTCATATTTACGTTAAAGGGTCCCTCCAGCCATGCAATCTAGAACATGCGTCGTATGTTCTCCGCTTAAGGTAGAGAAACTCGGGCCGGCCCTTGGCTCACTTGGGAGAGTGCGGTGCTGATAGCACCAAGGCCACGGGTTCGGATCCCATATAGGGATGGCCGGTTCGCTCACTGGGTGAGTGTGGTGCTGACAACACCAAGTCAAGGGTTAAGATCCCCTTACCGGTCATCTTTAAAAAAAAAAAAAAAAAAAAAGAAAGGGTAGAGAAACTCCCTGTCGCTTTCACTATGGTCTGTGCAGCAGCTGAACTTGCCATTACCAGAGCTTGTTAATATTCACATTTATTCTCTTTTGCTTCTGGAGTTGTTCACGATTAGGAGCAACTGTCAAAACACTGATGCTTTCTTACCTCTGTAGGAGTAAAAATGTAAGTAAAAAGTAAAGGGTTTTTTTTTTTTTAATACTGGGATGTGTAAACAAGCTTTGGCTTTAAAGAATAAACAGCGAAAGCAGAGGCCACCTTTTTCTAGGCCACTTTTCTTTTGTTTGCAGTGTCCTCTTGCAACTCTTCCTGATGTCCCTTTCCGCTGAGGATTCCACGGAGGACAGGCCCGGAATTCAGAAAAGAGTCTTGGAGACTGGCAGGATGTCTTTTGTACCCAGATAATATTTTGCGCTCCCCCAGATGGCCACTTGATGGCGCCAAAAGGTTTACTCTTCACCCTGCTTCCGCCTTTCACCCTCCTGCCCATACGCTGGTACTTCAAAAAAATTCATGGAAAAACTCACATAATCTTTTAATTCTGTTTTTCAGAAAACTTTTTGAAGTACCCTAGAATGTTTACTGATCCTGTTTGAGTAACCCAGTTGCACAAAGCCAGGAGAAGGATTGTCAAGACCAAAAGGGCAGCTAATACTCGTTTTTGACGGCCTTTTTGAAAAATAATCTAGTTTAATTTTATTCAGGTGAACAAAGGTTAGGGCTTTTAAAACGATCTGGTCATCCTGCGCACTGTTTCAGAACAGACAGACGCATGCCTGTGTGCAAAAGTCACCAGCAGCAAAGGGCCCCCTACAGAGGTTTGATTTCCAGAATTGGTCAGCTCGGTCCACTGAGCGAAGGGGCTTGTGCATTTCTGGACAGACTGTAAAGGAAGTTGGAAAAGCTACAAAAGCAAGTTAAAATGGCACTCAAGTACCGTTTTCCATCCAATCAGTTGGCAAAGCTCAAAAAATTGGGTACTGACATACGGCACGGGGACAGTCGTCAGAAAAAGTCCTCTCCCATGGTGCTGGTGGGAGTCTAAACTGGAATAAGATCCACGGAAGGCAATTTGGCAACAGCTGGCCAAATTACAAGTGCACATTCCATTTCTAGGAATGTATCCTCTTCACACATTTGAGTGTCACCACCATGGAGCAATTGTTATAAGATTGCAAAAAATAGGGCTGGCTGGTTGGCTCAGTTAGAGCAAGGTCAAGGGCTGGATACACATACTGGCCAGCTGCCAAAAAAAAAAAGACTAGAAAAAACATTTAAAATATCCATAATGTGGAACTTGTGAAATAAATTATGAACATCTATATAACAGAATACTGTGTAAAAAGAAAGAAGCTCTGGGGACCCCACCAAAGACCACTGCCCAGGCCCCCCATTTGTTCACCGCTTGTGAGGCCCTCCAGCCATCAGTAATCGCTTGCTCCAGCTCTTGCCAGGTGACCATGGTGACTTCTTCTCCATCAGGTATCAAAGTCAGCCTCCGGCCTACATGTTCCTGACAATAACAGAAAACACACACCCACACACACCCTAGTTTAATCCCAGGAAGCTTTAGGTACAGACCCAGGCTAACAGGATTGGGTGGGTCCCTCCACCGCCCTACCCCCAGGGAGAATTCATTGTTTTTCAAGGGACTAGCAAGTCTGGCTGGTTCTCAGTCCCATGTGGGCCCCAATAGAGTGTTGGGCAGGGATGGAAAGGATTTCCCCATTAATCTGGGAGCAGAGCCCAGAGAAGCAGAGGGCACCCACCACCCTGCCCTGGAGGAATGCAGGCTTCCAGAGTGGGAGTCTGGACAAGCCCTGGAGAGAGGGGCCAGGCTGAGGACAACCCTTCCCCCCAGTCCCTGGAGGCCCCTTTCCCACAGAACTGGCCCATATTACCAGGAAGCCCTCTCGGTCTTTGATTAGATTCTCTAGGTCATCCATCCTCTGGAGGAGCTCCTGGAAGAAGAGTTCAGACATGGAGGATCACAGCAGCCCCACCCATGGCCTCTACACGCACATGCAACTGACTCAGCGAGAGGAGGGGGAGGTCTGAGGGGGAGGTCTGTGCGCAGCTCTTAGGGGAAGGCAGGGTTTCTACTTGTTTTTTACCTGGCTGGTAAAGCCGGGCTCCCACTTCTCTTCCCAGCCAACAAGGGGAAAGGAGGCGGGGTGCGGTGGGAGTAGTACTGGGGGACAGCATGCCAAGTGAACGCTTATGCAGAGGTGGCAACCTCTGGCCCTGGGATTCATTTCACGCTAGCAGCTAATGAAGCATTCCAGCACTGTCGGACGAGGCCCACCTCACCTCTCAAGAAACAAAAAGTATTGGGCACTTCAACAGGGTCTGAACACCTGCGCCCGTTGAAGTAGAAAAAGCACCTCAAAAGAACCAAAGCGCCGGCCTGGTGGCGCACCGCTACAGTGCGCCGCTTGAGAGCGCGGTGGCGCTCCCGCCGAGGGTTCGGATCCCACATACAGACCGGCCGCTCACTGGCTGAGCGAGGGGCGGGCGCAGCGCCGAGGGTTGTGATCGCGTTGCCGGTCCCGGTCCGGTACGGGCGCGACACTGAGGGTTGCGATATGAGTCCTTTTTTTTCCCTGAAGAAAGAGATCTGCGTGTAACTGAATTTTCCCAGAGAACACAGGAGGGGGAAAAAAGCACAATCAATCAAGTAAGTTTTTTATGATCCCTATAAGCAAAAACATACTTCAGTTATGATGGATGGTGTTAGAGAGCAAATTAGATTGCATGAAGGCTGAGTACTAATGTTGATATTTACAGTGCTTAAATATATTGTCTGCCTTCTCTAAATGCAGCTCATTCATTGGTTTTATGTTATGAGAGAAATATCAGAATAATGAGCTGGGTTTTTTTCCTCCTGTCTTCATAGTTTAATATCATGCAACTGTTTATTAATAAGCTCCAAACCCCAAAGGATTTTTCTAATCCTATTCTAATATCAGACTAAATTTAATAAGATTCATTCTTCTCCCTACCACATATGCCTTATTCATTCATTTATTCAACTAATATTTATTGAGGGCCTTCTATAGTGACAGGACTGGGTTAGGCTTTGGGAATACAATGTTGAAATAAGACAGGCTTGGTCTCAGCCTGCAAATGGGGACAGACCAAAAGGGAAAGAAAAAAAAAAAAAAAAGAACCAAAGCATCTCAGCACAAAGATGTATAAGCTTGAGGTCATAGAAAAAAATATATCAGTGGTTACCAGGGTTTCAGTGGAGGAGAGAGGATGAATGGATGGATGGATGGATGGATGGAGGGATGGATGGAGGGATGGATGGATGGACGGATGGACAGAGGGAGGGAGGGAGGGATGAGTAGGGGAAGCAGAGGATTTTGGGGGCAGTGAAACTATTCTTTATGATACTGTAATGGTAAATACGTGACATTATGCATTTGGCAAAACCATAGAACAGTACAATAGAGAGAACCCTAATGTAAACCTCAGTTAATAATAATGTATCAATATACGTTCATAATTGTAATAAATGTACCACATGAATGTAAGATGTTAATAATGAGAGAAGGCCTGACCAGTTAGCTCACTTGGGAGAGCCTGGTGCAGATAACACCGCGGTCAAGGGTTCAGATCCCTGTATTGGCCAGCTGCCAAAACAAAAACAAAATACGTAAATAATGGGAGAAAGTGTGTGTGTGTGTGTGTGTGTGTGTGTGTGTGTGTGTGTGTGTCGGGGGGTTGGTATGTGAAATGTATGCTTTCTGCTCAGTTTTTCTGTAAACCTAAAACTGCTAAAAAAATAAGTCTATTACTTGAAAAACAAAAAAGCAAATTGCTAAAACTTGAGTTGCTCCTTATGACTTGTGTGCATTGCTAAGGCTGTTGTTGGAATCCTGCCGACGTAGCTGATTGTATTGCTAGGGCTAGGATCCACAGACCCTTCAAACCCCTTGTACAGACTGGGTCACAGACCCCTTATATGCCAGCCTGTGTCACCAGACCCCTCACATGCTTGGCTGGATCACCAGACCCCTCACATGCAGGTCCACGAGCTAGGTAATTGGGAAAGATCCCCAGAGCTGTTGGCAGATGACACAAGCTCAGTCCTCAGCTTCCTCGGTAGCAGCAGTGGCCTCTCAGGGCATCCCAGGGGCTCTGGCAGCAACAGCTCGTAGCAACAGTCTCCAGCAGCAGTAACGCCACCCCCCCCATGATCCCCCCAGGGGCAGGGGGGCGGGCACTGTGGATCAGAGTCACTCATCCTTTATACTTAAGTCCGATAACCCAGGACACCTGGGTGCAAGTCAGACAACCCAGGAACACCTGGGTGCTCACATGCATCCACAGGTAATACCCCAGGAACACCTGGGTGCACGTGCACAGTTACATATTTACATCAAGTGTCCTGCAAGATACCAAGCATCCGAGGGAGCCCTGACCATTTCCTACATTTTCCCTACACTTGTGCAAACCTCCAGAATCTAAGATTAGTCAAAAACACACACAAGGGTCAGCCCGTGGCTCACTTGGGAGAGTGTGGTGCTGATAACACCAAGGCCATGGGTTTGGATCACATATAGGGATGGCCGGTTAGCTCACTTGGGAGAGCGTGGTGCTGACACCACCAAGTCAAGGGTTAAGATCCCCTTACTGGTCATCTTTTATAACAACAACAACAACAAATAAAAACAAAAATAAAACACACACACACAAATACACGCAAAATCCAAGAAACCCCAGCACACTTTAAAGTTTGAAAATAAGGGCCGGCCCGTGGCTCACTCGGGAGAGTGCGGTGCTGATAACACCAAGGCCCCGGGTTCGGATCCCATATAGGGATGGCCAGTTTGCTCACTGGGTGAGCATGGTGCTGACAACACCAAGTCAAGGGTTAAGATCCCCTTACCGGTCATCTTTAAAAAAAAACAACCAAAAAAAAGAAAAAAACAAATAATGAGAATCAAGGCAGAAAAAGGCAGGAAAGGAAAAAAGCCGTGTGAGCCTCGCTTGCTTTTTTCTATTTTTTAAAATCGGAAGAGCTAAAGTCCTCCTACGAGCCCCCAGCCCGCTTCCCCCCATTTCATTGGCCCAAACCATGCCATGTGGGCAAGTGAGGGTGCTGCCTCATTAGCCTTGAGAGCTGAACGTGGCAAGGGAAAAGGCTGGGGATGAGCTCTCTGTGTATATTGGCTACTTTTTAGAATCAGCCTCTCCCCCAAATCATCCCACAACAACCTTGCGAGGTAGGAAGACTAGACATTACTTATTCCCATTTTACAGATGAGGAAACTGAGACTCAAAGCCCAGAAAGGACTTCTCCAGTCACAAAAAGTCCATGACTGAGCCATCCCTCCAATTAGGTTTCCTGGCTCCCACCTCTGCCCATGACGTGCCCAACAAAATATACAATCCTCGGAGACAGATCATTGTTTCTGGTATCCCTCTTGTGGCCCCCTCTTCCTTACTCCTCCTGGCCTTCCTTTTCCCTCCTGTCTCTTCTCAGCCTCTCCCTAGGCTTTCTTCCTAATTGCCCCTTCTTTTCCTTCCAGGTACTAACCCCCTGTCTGGCCCAATACACAAGTGAAACATGAGCACGTCTGTCATCTCGAGTTGACATGCACCATGTTTCCTGCTCTTCAGGGGACAATGCTTATGCTGCACCATTCTCATATACTCTCCCTCCAAGAAAACAAAAGTCCAAGTGAAGCTGTCCCCTGCATGCTGAGATTTGTCATAACCACAGGGAGCTGGGGTCTAACTCTCCATCCAAACTGCCTCCTCTTGGACTGTGGCCTCAGTCTTTCAACACCCACTCCCTTCTTTCTTCTTTTTTTAAAGGGAATTTGCTCTCAGAGTATTCTGAGAAGTTGTTAGCTCCTCTCTGGGTCAGTTCAGGGTCTTTGGGTGTCTGGTCAGTGGTGGTTGAACCTCAGTGTAAACAGGGGCCAGGATGAAGGGGCATGGGAAGGGGCCACTCTGCTTCCCAGGTGGGGTTCCAAGGTGCCCTCACCTGGGACTTCAACTCAGGGAACAACTGCGCCTTTTGGTGGGCTTCTTTCAGGATTTTTACGTCTTCCATGACGTCCTCAAGGAGCCCCATGGCCTGCAAGGTAGAGCACGGGTTGCATGGGGCCAGGCTGCACCAAGGCCTGGCATCCCATCCTGTCCCCAGCTTCCCGTGCCCCTCAGGCACTGGTTCTGGAGCCCGACCTGGAGCGGGTAGAGGGACTGCGTGGGCCCCCTGCACTCACCTTGCTGATGCTGACCCTCTTGGTGTCTTTTACGACCCCCTTAGACGCTGGTTGCTCCCTGTCCTGCACCAGCATGGCCATGTCCTTGTCCTCCATCAGCATGGCCATGTCCTTGTCCTCCAGCCATTCCCGGGCGTCCACGTGGAGGCCGCCGTCCTCGGAGGTTAAGTGCTGCACGTGGGTGACGATGCCCCGCACCTGGTTGCCGATGGTCTTGAGCTGCCTGGTGAGGTCCTGCACCTGGCTCTCCAGCGCCTGCGGGGGCACCCTGCTCACGCTCCTCCGCTTCTCTTTGGTGGCCGGCGGGTGCGGAGTGCTGAGCGAGGGCCGGGGGCTCAGCTCGGGAGACAGGGACTGGAAGTCAGTGCGGGTCTCCTGGAGGTTGAGGCTCTTGAGCATGGCCACGATGAGCGTGTGCAGGGCCGTGAAGTTGACGGCGCCCACCTCCGGAGTGCCGATGGCCAGGTCGGCCAGCTCCCGGAGGGAGACCGTGGTCGCTCCCATCGAGGGCGGCATCGTGCGCCCTGTCAGGAGCGGTCTGTGACCCCAAGGGGACAGGCGACCGTGCTCCTTTCACCCCTCACACACACCTCGCGGCCTGTCGCGGAGCCTGCGAGGCCCCGGGGGGTCCCCTCCCCTGGGCCCAGCCTCGGGACCGAGCCTCTCGGAAATCAGCGCCCCCGCCTCCC